AAATGTTTGCAAGAAAACAACCAAGCTCAGAGAACCCCAAGGACTCCACAGTTCAACCCTGAGCTACATATATGCTCTTCTATTAGAGAAAAGGTTGCTAACATGTTGACCTCCAGTACTCTAACTATCAAATCTATGTAAAACAAACTTGAGGAGCCTGTGGCTCTCTAAATGCTGCTGAACTATAATTCCCAGCATCCCATGCCAAATTGGGGCTACTAGGAGGTCTAGCTCAGTGATATCCGGATGTCCACAGATTCTCCACATCTGACCTAATGGGTCATTCACTTACAACATGCTGTTAAATGTTGCATTTGCATTTGGTCTTTAAGTCTACAGAACTGCTTCAGTGTTGACATTTGAAAGCTTTCAGATCAGAATGCAAGGAAGTAAGTCATGGGGCTGAAAAGCTATAGGTAGCTGTCCCTACATATGGTTGTATCAGGCTGGCATATTAAAGGTAAAATAGTCTTGTCTCTTAAATTGAACATGCTTGCCTAACTAATAACAGCAATTATTTTCCTGTAACATACAGATCAGAAGTGCAGAATGAAAGCAGAAAGAATTTAATGAATCCAACTATTTACTAAGATACAACAATGTTTGAAAGAAGTCAGACATAAGCTCATATTCTGCCTTTAGAAGAATTTGTAGTTTGTCCTCACAGTATCACTGCAAATCACAGTTGATGCAAATCCAATTACTCTAGATTATGATTTTATGACTGCCTTCCAACAAAAAGCGGATTTTCTTAGGACTGACCAAGAAGCAGAACTGACCTATTGAAGGTTTGCTATTTTTTCTTTTGTTGAATCTGAACTCATTTTATAGCCTTTCTAACCACCCAGGCAGCAACAGAGGAGTTGGGCTTGAAGTGCTGAGGAAGCATGTCCTTTTGAAAGCTCAGGATGGTCACTTCCAAAGTGGCCTCACTTGGTGAAGTACCCTTTGGAAGGGCTCACACGGCCTCAATATTAGCAACACAATATAAAGGGCTTTGGTGGGGTGAGGCTGTGTCCCATCAGGGCAGGGAGGCTCCTGTCTCAACATGCTGCATTACTCTGCCTGCACACCGTCTCTTCTGGTAATCCCACAGGTCAGTAAGGTGAGGAAAGCCATAGTATTTCTCACTTGCATCCCTCTCTTGTGGAAGTTAAGCAGCCTCGACTGTGGTTGATGACCAAACTCTTCCGGGAAGCATTTGGGGAATAAGTGTCACAATTTTGCTTATTTGCAATAATTGCAATTTTATTTTGTTGTTTGATTCTGATTTTATATTGTCTTTCTGTTCTGTTTTATATGTTATACACTGTCAGGAGTCATTCCTAGCCTGACTGTATAAAAGTACAATCAACCAATGGGCAAATAAATTAATAACGGTTAAAAGCTTATGATCTTTTTAATATGAATGGAGTCAAAGTATTGGCCAACATTTAAAGTTGTAAAAAGCCATTTTCCATTGCTCCTTTGTTATTAGCTTCTTTTTTAAAATATGGAAATGTTTTTGCAGTCAGCATTAACCTGAGCGTGAAAAAACAGTTGCCGGGAACTTCTGGGTAGCCAGCATCAC